GGGGCAATATGCTGACTCTCTGTAAACCGCTTAGAGAGGGCTGAAAGCCCTATGAAGCGGTATATAAGTCTACTGCTATTGCTATTGCTATGTTGGTTGCCAAGTGCCCAATTTTGATGACCTGACAGATGGGATACTATGATGGTCATGTGAGGATTGGTCACAAGTGACTTTTTTCAGTGCCTTTACTTTGAACGGTCGCTAAATCTTGGTTGTAAGCCGAGGACTGCCTGTAGACACTGTTTTTTTTAAAATTGGTTGATATCTAAGTTACACAGATTGAATTACTTGCATTGTGTGTATTAATGCAACCTTTTCCAATTTATCACTCTTCAGATGTGACCCTATTACTCCCACAACATATCGGGGAATTATGTGGCTTGCTATCAGGGTAATTGGAACCTATCAGATTGGGGAACTTATTAATATTTTCTTTTGTTGCCGACTAACAGTTTAATGCTTGAATTTTGTGAGCTTCCCAATAGTTCTTCTACATGAATGTTAGGGCTACATCATAGATTTTATTTTTATAAGACTTTAAGAAATATTAGTAACTTGAACATGTATAATTTGATAATTTGGATGTTAAACTCTTATTATTCCTTTGTAGTGCTAATTAACATTGGATTGTGGATTAGTTAAAATAGAATAATTGGCTTTTCCTTTTATTGCCTTACAAAGCAAAAGGAAATGTAGAACTACTCCATTGCAGAATATTATGACAAGGGCCCTGGAAAAAGCCCTGACATTTCTTGGGGAAGTACATTATTTTATTATATATCAACACTAGTTCAATCAAAAACTTCTAATTTTAGACTTAATACACACATTGGCATACTCACATTTTCATCAGTAAATATATTTTCTAATGTTGACAACTCATTTAATAAGTTGCCATGGTGAGAACAAGTTGCTTAATTAATTTTGAGAGTTTTAAAAGCACAGTGTATTTTAAATAACCAGGGTGAGTTGACCTTGAAAGGAACACTGTTTCAAATACTACCTACCTACAATTTGCTGAAAAGAGTTTTCAGTTTATTTTAAATCCAGACTGTCAAGATNGTTTTCCAGCCTGCCTTGCCAGGATCGTTAACTGAATCACTGCAGTAGCTCGGTCGCTAAGTGAATCCGGCTTTCCCCATGGACTTTGTTTGTTGGAAGGTCCCAAAGGGGAATCACGCAACCATCATAAATGTGAGTCGGTTGCCAAGCATCTGAATTTTGGCCAGACGGATATTGCAACGGTCGAAAGTGCAGGAAAAAAGATCCTAAGTCACCTTTTTCAGTGCCGTTGTAACTTTGGACCCTAAATGAATGTTTGTACGTTGAGGACTTCCTGTGCTTTCAAACTCACAATGGAACGCAACTTCCACCCGGTGCCTTCAGCACTATTCAAAATCATCCGTTGTGGAGGCTCCTGCAGTTAAATTTATAGCTAACAATGATCAATTCCATCATCGTTAGCTATAAATTTAACTGGGAAATTTAACTGGAAAATTAGAAATCTGTTTATTATTATTATCCGATTGATGCATTGTCCGATTCCCAGAAACTCTGGGTTGTGCATAAGAGAAGGTGACACTTAAAATGATAAAAATAGAATGACAGTATTGACAAAACAGGGCCGCGACAGCACAACAACCTGGTTCTAAAAAGTGGGGGGACACTCCATCCTAGTTAAAGGCCACGGATGCCGTTCCAGAGGGAGAGCAGAAATTTCCCGAGTGAGAAAATTAACCAGTGGAACAGAAGTTGCCACCAGAAGTTGTGGGTGCTCCATTACTGGAAGTTTTTAAGATGATGTTGGACAACCATTTGTCTGAAGTGGTACAGAGTCTCCTTCTTGAGCAGGGGGTTGGACTAGAAGACCTTCAAGGTCCCTTCCAACTCTGGTATTCTAAAGCAGCTGGGCAGACAGGCTGTTCCTTCGAGAACGTTTCCTTGCAAGGCTCTTTAGACACAAGAAGAGAATTTGCAAGAATTTGCACCCTCTTTCCTTCTTGGGTCATTGCATTTAGAACTTCTGGATAGTTTTCAAGGGCAGCCCCATGTACACTGCGTTGTAAAAGTCCAGCCATGAAGTGAGCTACTGCCTGACAAACCTCCCAATTGAGAGAGGGGCGCAATTGGCACACCAGATAAGGACCCCAGAGCAAATCTTCCTGGCCTCAGCTGCCACCTGCTGATTTAGTAGCTGAGAGTCCAAGATTATATGCCATTCACAAATAAGGAAGTGCGATAGGTAGTCCTCAACTTACGACCAGAATTGAGCCCCAAAATGTCTGTTGCTAAGCGAGACGGGTATTATGCGAACTTTGACTCATTTTATGACCTTTCTTGCAACAACGATTACGTGAACTGCTGCCGTTGGTAAGTGAGTCACACGGTTGTTAAGTGACTCGGGCTTCCCCAGTGACTCGGCTTGTCAGAAGGTCGTGAAAAGGGGATCGTAGGACGTTGGGACAAGCAACCGCCATAAGTACATGCCAGTTGCCAAGCCTCTGGACTTTGATCATGTGACCATGGGGAAGCTGCAATGGTTCCAGGTGTGAAAAATGGCGATAGGTCACTTTTTCAGTGTCGTCGTAACCTTGAATGGTCCCTAAATGAGTGGTTATAAGTTGAGGACTACCTGTATTCCATTGAAGGTCAAGAGGTGGAATGTCCCCAATCCTGAATCCTCCCCCGTTTGGCCCAGTTTGGTTCTGCTAACCGGTAGTTTAAAAAAACTTCCCAGGATCGGGCGGATCAGCTGGGAGCCTTGCGACTGTTGGAAGCTTTCCCCCCCCGCTTTTAAAAGCATTTTCCCCCTACCGGTTCGAGCGAAGAGGCAGGGAAAAAATGCTTTAAAAAGCGAGGGGGGGGGCGCGTTTGCTGCAAAAGAGAGAGGGAGGGAGAGAGGGAAAAAGGAGAGGGAGGAAGGAGCACAAATCTGTCACTAGACGCAGCTTCAGAGGATACCTTGAAAAAGCACAGCAATCCAGGGATGGAAGAGACCTGGAGGTCATCTAGTCCAACCCCCTGCTCCAGCAGGACACTGTTAAAGTGAGCTTCTGTCTTTTGACCCCACCCCCTCCCAGGGATGTGACTACATAGCCACGCCCACCCAGTCACATGAAGCCCCCACCAAGCCACGCCCACAGAACCGGTAGGAAACGTTTTTTAGATTTCACCGCTGACTCAAAGCCTTGAGGTAGGTTTGAGTGGGAGATGAGGCGCAGAGTCTCCAAGGACTGGGACAGAAACCTGGCAGGCTCACCTGTCTGACCCGGGGATCAAAATATATATAGATATATTCATCGAGCCCCAAATTGATGGATGACTTCACCCAATGGTTTCACGTCTATGGAGATTCTCCATCACCCAGGTCATAGTTCTCCCAAAGGTGTTTTTTCAAAAGGCAACAGGACTTTGGCTTTAAGATGTCTCGCTTCTTATCCAAGAAGATTCTTCAGTTCTTGGATGAACTGTAGAAGGTTCTTGGATGAGAAGCAAAATGTTAGGAGGGAGAGAGGGAGGGAGGGAGGGAGGGAGGGAGGGA